AAGTTCAAACTGACCTATTTTGTTTGGCCTCTGTGGATAATATAATCGGTTGTCTGGTCTGGTCTGGATGTATTTGTATTTGATTTGTCGTAGTATTACAAAAACATGGTTCACTTCAATTTTCTTCATGGATTTTCTTCTGGAGACTATAAATATTTAAATTTCACCTTTATTTTTTTGTCCCATTCAGCAGACAATATTATGGTTCGTGATTGTGATGTCACTGTCCTCCAAAGAGAAGTGTTCCGAATTTTTTATTGTTATAGTGATGGATTTTAACAATCTATCCTTTCTTATACTTTTCTTTCCTTAAAGGAAAAAGAAATCAGGGAAAAGAACAAATGATCCCTGATATTTTCTGAGTGCAAAGATAAATATGCAGATATTATGTTGTAAGAAATATATGGAGTTTAATGTGGGATGGAAGTTGTCATTTAAGTCCTGGTACTTTACACAGAATAGGTGTTCTTGGGGTTGATTAATTCACATTTAGATTTGAAGGTTCTTGCTTTAGTTTCAGATCAAATTGGAAGATACATTCCAATGAAAGATATTTAACAGGATTTAGAAATTATGATACATTGCAAATGTATATTTTCCAGTACGAGGAAAGGTGTTTAAAATGCTAGAGTTTTTGATGAATTTGAAAAGAGATTTGGATAATACGGGTAGGGGGAATGAGAAAAGTATGATAGGAGGATATTTTTCGTGATGAGTAGTCTGGTATCGGTCTCATTTATATGATTGAGATATAAGGTTAGAGAGGATTGGTCACACATAAACATCAACAATTAAATCGGTCTGTGTAGAATAATGTGTAGACCAGTTCGTAATTAGCACATGGTTCAAATCACCTCAAACATCCACAGATATTCTAACTTCTGTACAAAATAACCTAAGTCTGCCCATATCAAATTGTATACAAACTGGAGTACTGGCTCCGAGAAAGTCGTTGCTGGAGGTTCTTTTGTGTGTTGAAATACCCTTAACATACCTCTTATTCAGTATTCTGAAAGTCTGAAGTTTTCAGAATATCACCCAAACGTGTATTGCTTTATGGTATGAAATATATATTGCCCCTAGAATGTTCAAAACCCTGTGGCGCTGAATTTTTAAAATCATTGCCAAGAATCGGGTAATTCTCTAAAAACAACCAGCAGTTACCTACATGCAATTTAATTCTAAGAGCGTATACTGATTGGCGTTCACTTTGTTGTCAAATACACACACGGATGATACATGTAATAATCTCAGCAATTTATTCTCTTTCTGCCAAAATTATTTGTGTATGAAACCCGTGACTGATGAAGCATTGAGAGCTCTACAGAGTGAGTCAGAAAAAAAGTCCCACTTTTTAAAAGTTGTATTGTGTGAAGTATGAATATTTAATCGTGGATTTCATGATATGTCTTGAATCTCTGCATGCATGACTGAACATCAGACATTCTTTACAAGACTGCCAAATCTCACTCGCCAAGTAGCTAGGTGGGGAATAAAATAGTGTTTTGAACACAGACTGCCAGACAGACAAGGCCCACCCAAACTGTTACTTTTTGTCGGGAATTCTTCTTCTCGTACGAAAAGTTGAGTGGCTGCTGTTCTCTTAGTGCGTATTGGCGGATGTTGTGCTTCATGATGATGATGATGATGAAGATTAAGATGATGACAATGATGATGACATGATGGTGGTAGTGAATTTGTACTAAAGGGAAATATTGTCAGGGCTATGCCACTTAAACATTCAGCGATCTTGATAAAAATCATTGCTCAATCAGAAGAGGGGAAATTATGAAACAATTGTCACGGTGTGTGCTGTGTGTGCGTGTGTTCGTGTGTATGCATACATGCGTGTGTGCGTGTGTGTGTGTGTGTGTCTGCGTGTGTCTGACTGTCTTTGTTCAACGCACTGTTTTATTCCTTGCCCAGTAACTTGGCGCAAGTGAGATCTGGCAGTCTTGTAAAGATTGTCTGATGTTCAGTCATGCATGCAGAGACTCAAATGAAAATGGTACCTAAATGTACTAGGAGGATAACTCTATCAAGACATATCATGAAACCCATGATTAAATATACATACTTCAAACAGTACAACTTTCAAAAAGTGGGACATATTTTCTGACTCACTCTGTAGAGCTCTCAATGCTTCATCAGTCACGGGTTTCATACACAAATAATTTTGGCAGAAAGAGAATAAGACCGCTTTCCAGTCAATGTCCTTTTTGAATGACTGGTATTCTAACGTCATTGGGTGTGCAAATATGTAATTTCTTTTCAAACTGAAATTTTCACTTTAGATTCAATTTAATTCGATTCAATTTATTTCAAACACAAATAAAAACACATATCATTTAAAATATATAATATTATATGCTATCCATAATACATTGTATGTAGGAGTGCCCCATGGAAGAAGGCACTAGGAGAAAAAACAGACAATACTGATCTTTTTGTACACAACAAACGAAAGAATTGTCCACGAATACATCACAATCCATTGACCCAATTGCCAATTTGAGATTCGCATATAGAGATATCATTTTTCAAACAATCATAACTGCTTTATTTTTTGACCGATTTATTTATACATTTGCAATTATGAGTTTCTTATTTGTTTGCTTTCACACAAAATTGATGAACTTTATAACAAAGGAGCGCCTATCATACCTATCTATAACGAATATCATCATGATATACATAAAAGTTCAATTAATCCAATGCAATTAAAAATATATATGTACATAAAGTATACATCAACAGTTTGATAAGTATGAAGAAGAATAAACGTCGAATAAAGGTAACATAAAAGACGAACCCCTTTGTAATAAACGTTTGAATGAGAAGGATGTCAGTACGCAAAACGTAATAATGTTCAGTTTGTTTATGAGGGATCCCCTTTAATTTGGCAGATTTCTTCCTTCCTTTCTTTTTATAAAGAATTTGTCTCTCTCATATATATATTTTGTTTTTTAATGACATTAAAAAAGGATACTCCATATGAAAGGCAATAAAAATCACTGGTCTTGCCTTGCTCATGGCCACAGGAGCTCATTGTTTTCATTATCTTAAACAAGATATTAAATTTAACACCTGGGGTTCCTTCTATATACTTTCAAATGTTGAATTCATTTCATTTCATGTGATTTGAGTTGATGTTAATTCACTTCCATATACATGTACATCTTTTTTTCTGGTTATAATCTTGCCAATTTTATTATTTTTATTAGATTTGTGTATTTGATAGATTTATTTACGAACAGTAAATAAGTACCATTTATTTCAAACATATTTATATGTACAAGAAGAGAAAATATTGGTTGGTAAAAATGGGCGGATAAAAGCATATGTGCTAGTTGACCCTAACGCCTTATGCACAGCTCAACAATGTATTTTGTACAAGTAACTTTCATAAAACAAAACACAAACTAAGAAATTAATGTACTATTGCAATCAATACTATAAAAATATATAACTTTAACAATGTCTTACAAAATACTAAATATAATTGTTGTACACATACAGACTATTTGCATGGATTTTTGATTCATGATTTGTTCAACAAATGTGTTGTAACTTAATCTGACATTAATCAAGTAACTAACCACAAGAGACAATGGAAATCGACCATGTGTCGTTCTACATTTTGGCAGACGTAATTGTTAACCTTCTGTTTGCCTTGTGGAGTAACTATACTCTATACATGTATACTCTATACACTATATATCAACATATGAGACAAACTTTTATTAAACAGATCAAACATGAAAGTAGTTGAGCTGTATGAGTAATTCACTCTCTAAATGTCTAAATGAAGAAAAAAAGTACGAACTGCTATTTTCTGTGAATACAATATGCTTCTTAATAGGCTAACCTTATATTGCTTCCCCACACCTGTGTGATTTTATCCACGTTTTATATGATAATGGATACTGTCAAAGTACGCCTAGGAACGAAATGTTGCAATCCTGATACACTGATTTACAAAACGAATATGACTATTCCATGGCAGATTTCTATCATAAGTGGTATCATCAACCGCTTGGATTCCCTCTCCAGCTATGTTCAGTTTACCATTTATACCTGTTTTTACGCATACTACTTATGAACATGATATAAGTTTCATTGAACTAGTTGAAGTTTGTTTATAGCAATGTGCTAGTTTGTCTGTGTGTTGTAAACTACTTCATCCACATTAATTTCGCACTGGTCAGCTTTATAAGTATGACTTATGTTAGAAACATTTGCAAAATTAACAGCAATAAATTGACATAATCAGTTAATGATGGCAGATCATTAATACAGTTAAAAACAAAGTTGGCCCTAGTACTGATCCTGGTGGAACCCCACATCTTATTGTATTCCATTCAAATAACGTTTGACCACATTGAACAATATGAGATCTGCTACTGATATAGTCCTTAAACCATGCAAGAGGTAAACCTCGAATGCCATTATAATAGAGTTTAGCTAGTGAATAATGATTAAATGTGTCAAAGTTGCTTTCTTAAAATCGATGAATATTTCAAAGTGAATCTCACTGCTTTGTTCGTGTAAAAGCAATCAATGTCATAATCTTGATGCAGCGAGCGTTTACACAATAATTTGTATAATGTACTAATAATTGAACAAGGTTTACGTAATATTGGGTAGTAATATACCCAAAATGCATGCATATTTCCTCTTTGACCAATGTTTGGTCAATTTATTAGGCCCGAATTGTACTAATATTTATACTGGACGTTGGATTGAGACATCGTCAAAAAATTGGGTTAAAAAGAAAATTGGTCTGAGAACTATGTTTAGGATAAGGCTTAAATGAATTAGAGTATACCTTTATTATTTTTCGAGAAAACTCATTGAATGTTTGTTTTTTTGCGAAAACCAAACGACAGGTGCATGTCGGATTAAAACAACCGTAATTATGGTGCTATGTTCATGTTGTCCAAATAACGAGCCATAGACCATGGATTAAAGGGTGATATGGAACAGATTGAGCCTGTTCCCTAATCACTGATGTCTGTGTCATCATCTTCCATTTGATCCTTCCGAGGATCAGCTGACTTTGTTCTCTCAAACGCATAGTTCTCGCAGAGCTCTTGACAATCCCTACGATTCATGCGTTCGAACGCCTTAGTCAAGTCTCCAAGGTTCCGAATCTTCTTTTGACTCTCAGCAAGAACGAGTAGTTCTTCAGTCGGATTCTTGCACTGCTCCAGTGATTGTATGTAGTCTTGAAGTTCAAGCTGATTGGCAAGACCCCTCCAGTCATCAAAAACTGGGCTTTCTCTGTTCAACCGGCAACGCAGCTCATGCTGTAGCCTAGGAGGTACTATGGAAGCAATTGGAACAGGGGCAGGGGCAGCAATATTTCCATGAGGATTATTCCCTTGGGGATTGTTGATGACTTTGATATTGTTGACGTTGATATAGACGTTTCCAGTACGCTGGTTGATATTTCGATCTGCTGAAAGTCCTGGAGCGAATTCTTGGACAATGTTTTCCACAAATGCTGGTCGGTCTAAGACTCCCACTTTCCCCTCTGCTGCAGAATCTAATGAAAGGACGGGCTCTGTCGATGATGTCGGAGCTTAAAACAAAACGAACAAAAAGATGATATGACGTAAATCAATTACATCGTTTAAATTTCCGTAGAGCATGTAAAGGAAATAAGCGTATATCACAATAATGCGCTTCTCAAGGGCTTTTGATATTATTACCCCGGTTAAATTCCAGCAACCTTTTCAGGTAACCTGCCCACTTATTACACATGGATCGAGTGTAGCGTAATTATAAACAATAATGTTTTGCCAAAGGATTTCGTTCGCTACTATCTGTAACATAACATCAAATGTCACCTCAAAGATACGATTGATTGAGGAGATAAGATAAATTTTTGGGAGAAATAATTGACTTTTTTGTTACAGAGCCCAGGACACACCTTAATATTTTAGCTCCTTACCAATTGCTCCTCTTTCTGTTACCAAATCATGTGTGACTTGGTAGGCATGTTCACTTGGCGGTGACTCTACCGATGGCGGAGTCAAAGGGCTAGGTCTTGTAAGTGCTTCAGTAGGAATACCTCCGTCTGAAATAAAGCAACGTAAAAAAAAGCTTTTAAAAATGATTAAACCAGACCCCGACTTGTGCTGTAAAGAAATCTGACTGATCCGTTATCATCGCAAGTCGACTGTCGAATTATATTGTATTATTTTGGTTTATTGAAATCATTGGGATAATATCATGGAACATGTAGTGTTGAGATGAAATTGTTCAATGTACAGAGTAAAAATCATACGATATAAAATATACATCAATAATATAGTAAAGAATATGATTTAAACCAAAGGAGTTAAAAACTGAGGCGCGATAGCTCAGTCGGTAGAGCAGTGGTCTCGTGATCCGGTGACCCGGGTTCGAAACCAAGTCGATGCGCTAGTGCCCTTTGGTAAGGCATTAATCCTCATTACCAGGTCCCTCGGGAGGACCTAAAGCCGTCGGCCGTCTGGTTGCTTACTTACAAGCAGTATGCTTTCTTAGCAGTCAGGTAAAATAACGACCACCTCATTCAATTACCACATTAAAAAAAAACAAGGCAAAATTCAAGAATATAGGCCGCAGTAGCGGTTCTTATGTCCCTCCCCCTTCCCCTAAAAGTAGCACATGTAGAAAACGAAGACCCCTATCCCTGCTACCCCCTCCCCCCTCCTGCCCCTCTCTCCCCCCCCCCCCCAAAAAAAAAAAAAAAACAAAAACAAAAACAAAAACAAAAAACAAAACAAAAAACATATACATATGTATTCCTCGAGAGCCGCTCCTGATAGGACATAGTCTTACCCTTTGTGTCTGCAGGCTCAGGTGATGTTGAACCTATCGTTTCAAGATCATGATGCTCGCTTCTCGTCAGCTCTTCTGAGAACTGAGATGCTGATGATACAATAATCAATCAAAATCAAATCAGAATAGCACAAATATATGGTTAGTTGCTCGATTTCGTTCCAATCGTCTCTTTACAAGAAGGAAATTGTTTCATATACCAAGCTCACCGAAATTCCATTGAATGCGTGTTATTTTACATTCCTGTTTCATTTGTACCCATGACGGTTTAGTGAAACGATGCCCTGCATATCAAAAGGTTTGTGTATGAAAAAACAAAAAAGAGAAAAAATGTATTAATGTTTATCTTTAAATCTTACATTTGGATGATCTCCGTCCAACATCAGTTGGTTCAGCTTTGCCTTTGGACGATGCAGTTCCTGTCGGAGTTGATTGGGGATTTGGATTCTCATGCGGCACATCTAAATCATGAATACATGATATCAAAGTAATGAGAAGCGATTAGCCTAAAATGATAATTATTCCAACTTGGAGTCACTTGCCACGGTGCTTTAGCTACACTAAATGAAATGTTTAGCATTGCACGTAAACATAATGTGCATATGATATATATATATATATATATGTGTGTGTGTGTGTGTGTGTGTACAGGGTGGCCCAAAATATAAGCACTAGCATACTGGTACTAGCAGTAGTATAATCTTTCCAAATATCCAAATAGCATTTTGTCCGGTATCAATGAAATTGCGTTTTATAAATTCGGATAATCGGACGTCTTTCTTACACATCTCATTAATAATTATCTTAATTGAAAGAAATAATGTTATGAAGTGTTACGTTTGTGTTTAATCTGACGTTTTGTTACAGCTTGTCCGAAGATCAGGTAAATAACCATTCCTGAAACTGCGCCAGAATACGATCTTCTCTGCCAGCACTGCCAGTGGAGGTCTTTAAGCCCCCCCCCCCCCACCCCCTCCCTCCCCCGAAAGGAATCAATGCTCTTGACATTACCGTTGTACTGTACTGGAAAGATGATCTTCTTCGTGATTTTTTGCTTCAAGATGAGAGTGACGAGAACTCCGGATACTACTTTTTCACGTGGCTGAAGAGTGAACGGCATCCGATGGGTAGTCATGTCAAAGAAAGCACATTCTTCAAGTTCCTAAGAAAATCAGAGATAACCATCAATTAATACCCTACGAAGTTATAGGGAACGGTGCCATAGTCGTAATTTTAAAGTTATATCATGAATTATGACCCATGTTTGAATCGAGTTTCCTGAAATTATATTATAATGAGATGGTGTTGTGCAATGAACAGTACGCTAAAGAGAAAAGTTCATAATGTCGGTATCGCTTTAAGAAATCTCTATATCTTTGGTAATGCAAAAGATATATATTAGGACCTACAGAATAGGTAACGGACGATTTGTTTGTCAGGATAATTTTCTTCGGGGGAAACAACAGTAACAATTATATTGGGATTGTTACCTCTTTTGACACTTCCTCTTTGTTTTCTAGATGTCTGACAGAAAGGGGTCCTTTTCCCCAATATACACAGTACTGCTCACCAAGAAAGGCTACCTGGTAGTCTCGTATGGTATCCTACAAAAGGTTGAACATATATGAATCAATATTGAAATAATAATAATGACAATAATAGTAATAAGAATATAGTAATTATAGTTGCAATAATGCCGCTCTTCCAGAGGGCACTGCAGTGTACTGCAGCAAATGAAGGTAATCAAATACACTGAATATTTACTTCAAGATGTGAAACGTTTATCGGGTTTGAATATTATATCTGTGATTTGTTTTATATTGTGTGTAACCGCCCCCGTCCCCTCCCCCCCCCCTACCCCTCCGTGTACGCTGCCAACTACTCAGAAAACGTTAGACAAGTATTGACATCGTAACCACTGGAAGACCGGGGACACAAATAAAAGTTATTTCAATGAACATGGTAAAACAACTTTCTGTCCTAATTCCAGCGTTTGCTATACAAACAAAAACAATTATTATATATCTTAGTTGCATGGACTTACTAAAGGATTTCCTGTCTAATTTAACATTCATTTATATTCAATAAATTTTAAAATGGACTTCAACTTCTTATTCAGCTAAAACTATACCGAACCGTTAATTTATGATAAATATACCTCTTTCATGCCGCAGAAGTCGTCTTTAATGACGAGATAGATGCGGTTTAACACATCTCTGTATGTTGACAGGGGAACGTAAGGCGTACAGATGAGCCGTTTACCGATGAAGTATCTCCTGATTAAGGAAATAATCCACCATTCCGAGAAATGGTCCAAGTACAGAGTAAGGTGATTCTTTGCGACTACACACCGAGCAGCTTTGTCAGAAGCAGGAACTATCCTTGAAAATTCATCAGACCCTTTAAACAAGACGGGCACAAAAAAGGGGACCGTGTTAATTTTGTTACGTAGTGAACTGTCATACTCTGGGATTTACTTTTCAGAAATAAAGTATTTTTGTAACTTTTGCGGGTTTACTGGGGAGCCTTGTTGGAGGGTCATTGTTTTACTCATGAACAATGACATTAAAAAATGTCAATTGCTTTTTGGTGATTGGCTATTAACAAAATGTTTTATGCATTAAATCAATACTCATAATTCCCTTCGATCTTTCAAAACGAATCCTGAAAACAGCGGCTGTATATAAACTGTGCGATTTATAAGTTATTCAAACACAAAGACTGAAACAATTTTTCTTTAAGTGAATTGTTATTCTAATAGAATTTGATCATGTAAAACTCAGTGAATAAAAACATTCTCAGAGGAATATAAACATTGAAGCGAGGTCATGTGATACCAAGAAAAGTAGGGTAGAATTAATTTTGTGTGAAGATCTCTGTCATAATTGTGATGGGGTCGTCGTGGCAGTCAGGTGCTCTCTGCACTATCACAACAAGAGATAGGAATTTATATGGAAATATGGGATCTATGGTAATATGAAGATCTTACCAGTTCTTCGGGTGTATAGCACAATTTCTGCCTTGTCTGGGTTGCTGAAAATAGCGCTATGTGAGACCGTGACTTCCACCGGAGTTTTAAACTGAAGACCAGGAGGGGATAGCTTGAGCCCAACTGAGATGATAACTTCGTCTTTTTCCAGCTTTAAGTCAGGTGGAATGGTTGTCAATGCTTCTGCTGTGATATATTTGGCTCTGTCCACGTCGTCTGGTGAAATTGGAACCTTGATGCTGTACTCGTCCAGACTTATAATCTTTGTCTCTTCTGTGATACTCTTCCTCGAGGAGCTAGAGCTGTCTTGTGGACTGGTAAGATATGGATCGTATGTTGGGGAGTATGGGCGGGGCATTAAGCTAGGGAGAGCCTTACTACCAAACGTACTGCGAAGGTAGTCATAGTGGTCCTCTTCAAACCCAATGAATGGCTTAACAATCTTTCTTGCTTCTCTATTTAAAAGAAAGTCATGTATATCCAGATAGCCACCATAAAGAGCAAGGCCTGAAGGTGTCCAGTAATCATCAGCAAGTCTCCACAGGTCTGCCCCTTTACTAACGAGGTATTTGACAATATCAAAATGACCCGCGAATGCTGCTATGTGAAGAGCTGTTAACCCATCTTTATCACCAATTTCAATGTCTGCTCGTTTGTTCACGATATACTCGACGACTTCAAGATGGCCTTCTTGAGAAGCACGATACAAGGGTGTCCTGTCGTTTTTGTCTGTTTTGTCAAGCTGTGCCCCTTTCCCAACGAGGTATTTGACGATATCAAGATGTCCCTTGAATGATGCAATGTGAAGAGCTGTTATCCCATCTTTATCACCAATTTCAATGCCTGCTCCTTTGCTCACGATATACTCAACGACTTCAAGATAGCCTTCTTGAGAAGCACAAGACAAGGGTGTCCTGTAGTTTTTGTCACATATGTCAAGCTTCGCCCCTTTCCTAACAAGGTATTTGAAAATATCAAGATGACCCTCCAATGATGCTATGTGGAGTGCTCTTAACCCGTCTAGCTTACAGTTATCAATATTTGCTCCTACGTTCAGTAAGACCTCGACAATATCCAAATGGCCTCTTTTTGTTGCAAGACACAAGGGTGTCGTCCCACTCCTGAGTGCTTTGTCAACCTCTACCCCTTCGTTAACGAGAGCTTTGACAATTTCAAGGTGTCCACCAAATGAGGCCAGACTAAGTGCGGTCCAACCATCGTCAGTGCTCCTATCCAGCTCCGCTCCTTGACTGGTAAGATATTTCACTACATCAATATTACCAGTTTGTGATGCAGTATGTAGAGCTGTACATCCACCTTTACCACACATGTTAATGTTGGCTCCTTCTGTCAAAAGATACTCTGCAATGCCAATATGACCACCGTCTAATGCAAAGTGAAGAGGTGTCCAGTCATCACTAGCAAGTCTCCCCAGGTCTGCCCCTTTACCTACAAGATATTTGACAATATCAAGATGACCTTTGAGTGAAGCTATGTGAAGAGCTTTAACTTCCTCTTTTTCACCAATTTCAAAGCCTGCTCCTTTGTTCACGATATACTCGACGACTTCAAGATGGCCTTCTTGAGAAGCACAATACAAGGGTGTCGTGCCGTTTTTGTCACATTTGTCAAGCTGTGCCCCTTTGCTAACAAGGTATTTGACAATATCAACATGACCCTTGAATGATGCTATTTGAAGAGCTGTAAACCCATCTTTATCACCAATTTCAATGCCTGCTCCATTGTTCACGATATACTCGACGACTTCAAGATGGCCTTCTTGAGAAGCACAATACAAGGGTGTCCTGCCGTTTTTGTCACATTTGTCAAGCTGTGCCCCTTTGCTAACAAGGTATTTGACAATATCAACATGACCCTTGAATGATGCTATTTGAAGAGCTGTAAACCCATCTTTGTCGCCAATTTTAATATCTGCTCCTTCGTCCACTAACAGCTCTATCACATGAAGATGGCCTTTCTTCGAGCATAAGTGAACCGATGTCTGTAGGTAAGCATCAACCACATTCACTTTTGCTCCATGATGGGTAAGCCATTTAACCGTTTGCAAATGTCCGTTTTCCGAAGCAATGTGAAGGGGTGTCTTGCCAGATGCATCCGAGCAGTTTACATCAACTCCATCAGAATCTTCTGACTTGTCTTCTGAGCCGATTAATGATTGTATCTTCAGGACGTCTCCTTTTGCTGCTGCTGAAAACAGCGCCATGTTGAACGTAATTCACACCAACAACGTTTTTCTCGTATTATTACCGTGATCTCCAAACTTCATGCTACTTATTGTCATTGGACATTGAACTACTGAGTAAATTAGCCCGTACCCTTTAGTAGCGATGATATTTGGTCTATTCTGAAGGAACAATCAAGCGACGTGTTTATATGAAAGCATTCTACAAATTGGACTTTGCATTCATATCCATATTCGGCTCTAAATGTCTGACTACTGTACAGCGTATTACAACAATACCATACAATTTCCTAAAATATATCTGGTTTCTGATTTGCGGGAAAAAAAGAAAAAGAGAGAAAGAGAAAAAAATATGGTCTCTATCATCGCTTTTCTTTAACACTCTATAGATTGTGAATTTGCTGTAACCTGTTGATATAGAGTACTCGCTTCATTTTTCTAGAATTGGCAGGATATAAACCAAATTTGTCAGTATCATCAATTAAGCATTATAAGATGCCAACAAGGTGCTAACTATTCGTCTCTCTTCATGTACATATGCACTTCATTCCCGACCCCTTCGCTCAAAATTCATGATTTTGCAATATTATTATACTTTGTTGGTGAAGAAGATGAACTACCATCCTCGTTTTTGAAAATGAGTTCTTAAAATGAAATAGAGAAATTTAGATTCACGGATTGTTTAACTAACAGAAGATGCCAGACCGACAAAAGACCGGACACACTCATATATTGCCCCGAATTGCCGAGAATCGGTCGATTTGAAGTCGGTTTTCGAGGTATGATTAATACCTCAGTCACACTGGCAAACCGACTTCGCACCGACTCCAAAAAAAGGGTCCAAACGGACATATTTATGGTCTCTGTGGATTATGTTATCGATTGTCTGGTCTGGTCTGGGTGTGGATGTCTTTGTATTTTATTTGTTGTAGTACGTATTACAAGATAAGGTTCACTTCTATTTTTCTCCGAGGATCTTTTTTTCGGTGGACTACAATTACTTAAATATCACCTTTATTTTCTAATCCATGAAGAAGAGAAATTATGGTTTGTTATTGTGTTGTCGATCAGAATATATCATTGTTATAGTGATGGACTTTGAAAAACTATCTCTTTCTTGAACTTTTCTTTTTTATAAATGTAAAATGAATCGGGGGCGGAAAGAACAAAAACTCTCAGATATTTTCTTAGTGCAAGGTTAAAGATGCAGATATTGTGTTGCTAGAAACATACAGTACTTCTGATAAAATACATGTAGTTTAATGTGGGATGGGAGTTGGTATTTCAGTCATGATAGTACTTAACAAAGTAAAGGTGTTCTTGTGTTGATTAATTCACATTTAGATTTTAAGGTTCTCTCTTTAATTTCAGATCAAATCAGGAGATACATTCTAATGAAAGTTATTTAACAGGGTTTAGAAATTATGATACATACAAATGTATATCTACCAGTACGAGGAAAGGTGTTACAAAGGCTAGAGTTGTTGCATGAATTTGAAGGGGTTTTGTATAATACGGGTAGGGGAAATGAGATAATTATAATAGGAGGATATTTTATTATGATCAGTAGTCTGGTATCGGTCTCATTTATTTGATTGAGATATAAAGTGAGAAAGGATTGGTCACACATAAACATCAACAATGAAATCGGTCTGTGTAGAATAATGTGTAGACCAGTTCGTAATTAGCACATGGTTCGAATCACCTCAAACATCCACATATATTCTAACTTCTGTACAAAGTAACCTAAGTCTCCCAGTGTCAAATTGTGTATACAAACTGGAGTAATGGATCCGAGAAAGTCGTTGCTGAAGGCTCATTTGTGGGTTCATCTGTGAGTTGAAATACCCTAGCTATACCTTTAATACAGTATTCCGAAAATCAGAAGTTTTCAGAATATCACCCCAACATGTATTGCTTTATGGAATGAAATATATATTGCCCCTAGAATCATTGCCAAGAATCGGGTAATTCTCTAAAACAACCAGCAGCTACCTACGTGCAATTTAATTCTAAGAGCGTATACTGATTAGCGTTTACTTTGTTGCCAAATACACACACGCATGATACATGTAATAATCTCAGCAGTTTATTCTTTTTCTGTCAAAATTATTTGTGTATGAAACCCTTGACTGATGAAGCATTGAGAGCTCAACAGAGTGAGTCAGAAAAATTGTCCCACTTTTTAAAAGTTGTATTGTTTGAGGTATGAATATTTAATCGTGGATTTCATGATATGTCTTGATAGAGTTATCCTCCCAGTACATTAAGGTACCATTTTCATTTGAATGTCTTCATGCATGACTGAACATCAGACATTGTTTACAAGACTGCCGTATCTCACTTGCGCCAAGTAGCAAGGTGAGGAATACTATAGTGTTTTGAACACAGACTGCCAGACAGACAAGGCCCACCCAAACTGTTACTTTTTGACGGGAATACCTCTCGTACGGAAAGTTGAGTGGCCGCTGTCCTCTTGGTGCGTATTGGCGAATGTTGTGCTTCATGATGATGATGATGATGAAGATTAAGATGATGACAATGATGATGATGATGATGATGACATGATGGTGGTAGTGAATTTGTACTAAAGGGAAATATTGTCAGGGCTATGCCACTTAAACATTCAACGATCTTGATAAAAATAATTGCTTAATCAGAAAAGGGGAAATTATGAAACAATTGTAACGGTGTGTGCGTGTGGGTTTGCATGTGCTTGCGTGTGTGTCTGTCTGTCTGACTGTCTTTGTTTAATGCACTGTTTTATTCCTCACCCGGTAACTTGGCGCAGGTGAGATCTGGCAGTCTTGTAAAGATTGTCTGATGTTCAGTCATGCATGCAGAGATTCAAATGAAAATGGTACCTAAATGTACTAGGAGGATAACTCTATCAAGACATAGCATGAAACCCATGATTAAATATTCATACTTCAAACATTACAACTTGTACAAAGTGGGACATTTGTTCTGACTCACTTTGTATAGGACCGCGTTCCAGTCAATGCCCTTTTTGAATGACTGGTATTCTAACGTCATTGGGTGTGCAAATATGTAATTACTTTTCAAACTGAGATTCTCACAATATATTCAATTTAATTCGATTAAATTTATTTTAAACACAAATGAAAATACATATCATATAAAATATATAATGTAATGTGCTATCCATAATACATTGTATATAGGAGTGCCCCATGGAAGAAGGCACTAAGGAGAAAAACAGAAAATCCTGATATTTTTTAACACAACAAACGAAAGAATTGTCCACGAATACGGTCCATTGACCCAATTGCCAATTTGAGATTCGCATATAGATTTAGAGATATCATTTTTCAAATATTAATAACTGCTTTATTATTTGACCGATTTATTCAAACGTTTGCAATCATGAGTTTCTTTTTTGTTTGCTTTCACACAAAATTAATGAACTGATAACAAAGGAGCACCTATCATACCTATCTATAACGAATATCATCATGATATACATAAAAGTTCAATTAATCCAATGCAATTAAAAATATATATGTACATAAAGTATACATAAACAGTTTGATAAGTATGAAGAAGAATAAACGTCGAATAAAGGTAACATAAAAGACGAACCCCTTTGTAATAAACGTTTGAATGAGAAGGATCTCAGTACGCAAAACGTAATAATGTTCAGTTTTTTTTATGAGGGATCCCCTTTAATTTGACAGATTACTTCCTTCCTTAGTTGTCTTCTTTATAACGATTTCGTCTCTCCAATATATATTTTTTGTTTTTTAATGACATTAAAAAAAAGGATACTCGCATATGAAAGGCAATAAAATCGCTGGTCTTGCCTTGCTCCTGCCCACAGGAGCTAATTGTTTTAATAATCTTAAACAAAATATTCAATTTAACACCTGTGGTTCCTTCTAGATACTTTCAAATGTTGAATTCATTTCATTTGATGTGATTTGAGTTGATGTTAATTCACTTCCATATACATGTACATCACTTTTCTGGTTACAATCCTGTCAATGTTTATTATTCTTATTAGATTTTTGTATTTGATAGATTTATTTACGAAAAGCAAATAAGTACCATTTATTTCATACATATTTATATGTACAAGAAGAGAAAATATTGGTCGGTAAAAATGGGCGGATAAAAGCATATGTGCTAGTTAACCCTAACGCCTTATGCACAGCTCAAAAATGTATTTTGTACAAGTAACTTTCAAAAAACAAAACACAAACAAAGAAATTAATGTACTATTGCAATCAATACTATATAAATATATAACTTTAACAATGTCTTACAAAATACTAAATATAATTGTTGTACACATACAGACTATTTGCATGGACTTTTTATTCATGATTTGTTCAACAAATGTGTTGTAACATAATCTGACATTAATAGGTAATCAAGTAACTAACCACAAGAGACAATGGAAATCGACCATGTGTCGTTCTAAATTTTGGCAGACGTAATTGTTAACCTTCTGTTTGCCCTGTGGAGTAACTATACTCTCTCTCTCTCTCTCTCTCTCTATATATATATATATATATATATAAATATATATATACTCTATACACTATATATCAACATATGAGACAAACTTCTATTAAACAGATCAAAAATGAAAGCAGTTGAGCTGTATGAGTAATTCACTCTCTAAATGAAAAAAAGCACGAACTGCTATTTTCTGTGAATACAATATGCTTCTTTATAGGCTAACCTTTTTGATTCCCCACACCTGTGTGGTTTTATCCACGTTTTATATGATAATGGATACTCTCAAAGTACGCCTAGGAACGAAATGATGCAATCCTGATACACTGATTTACATAACGATAATGACTATTCCATGGCAGACGTGTATCATAAGTGGCAACATCAACCTCTTTGATTTCCTCTCCAGCTATGTTCAGTTTACCATTTAATACCTCTTTCTACTTATCAACATGAAATACGTTTTCATTCAATTGATTTTTTTTTTAGCAATGCAACCATTTTTCTGTGTGTTGCTCATTACTTCATCCACATAAATT